ACACCCACCTATGAATGAGAACATGCGGTGTTTGGTTTTCTGTTCTTGGGACACCTTGTTCTTAATGCTTTGCCCTGCTTCTCAGAAGTGCTCTGATCCTCCAACATCAGGCAGTTTTACTCAAATGTCATCAGGTTGCAGAGAATTTTCTAGAAGGATCAGAGGGAGCCTTCTTAAGAGGCCACTGCAGCAGTGGAGGCCAAGTGGAAAGTATGCCGGACTGGGAGCCAGGATCCTGAGCCCAAGTGCTGACACCACCATGAATGGGCTCTCCACTCTGTGCCTTAACTTCCACATCGGTGAAATGGGATGGCCCAGCGACTCTGAGGTTCCTCTCCCCCTTCCCCTCCCTCTCCCCCTCCTTCTTCCCCTCTGAGAGACTTCAGAAGCTGCTCCAAGCAGAACACAGCCAGGCATGAGGTACAGCTCACCTCCCAGACTCTGCTTCCTGGGGCCTCAGCCAAGCCCCGGTCTTCCTGCCTGGTGAGCCACGGGCACAAGGGGACTTCACAGAGTCTCTGCGAGGTTTTCCTGGGGAGCTGGGGGCGGGGAGGCAGGGAGCCTTTCAGAGCTAACACAGAGGCTTCGTCTGTGTCCAGAGCTGCGGGAGGAGTGCACTGTACAGCCCATGGGGACTCTATGTTGCCTCTAGATTTTTCCGTGCCTTTTTCAGAATCTTTCATTTGCTGAAGTAACCCCTCAGCAGTTGAGACCAATAAGGGCCGTTAGCTCAATTTGACATATGAGGAGGCTGAGGTGCCATGAGGAAAGCGATGCTGGAGGAGGCAGCATGTCAGCAGAGGTAAGAGCATCTGCTGCTCTGCCACTTAGCCTTTCCCTGCCTCAGTTTCCTCATCTAGAGGTGCTGATACTCTAGACTGCTCTGATAGGCCTGCTCATGCTTCTTGGAGAGGAGAAGGAGGCCCAGGAACACCTCTGATCTTGAGGTGGGACCCAGGAGCCAAGCCAGTGCACAGGCAGGTCCCCAAGAGATCCACGATGGGTCAGGTACTGTTCTAGAACATTCCATACATCATCTGGTATTATCTTCACAGCAGCTCTGTCAGTCAGGCATCCTTTGCCCCATTCTGCAGAGGGACAACTGGAGTCTGAGAGTTCACACACAGCCAGGGTCCAAACTCGGATTCCAAGTCATGTTCTTCCCACCACTCTGGCCCACCCTCCTTGGATGTGGGTCTAGTGCCAGAGAGTTGAGGCAAGCTCTGATTCTGCATTATCTCCTCCTTGTAGACAGAGGACCAGCAGGTCTCGGACTCTTGCCCTCAAGTGACCCTCCCAGCTTGGCCTCTCAAAATTCTGGGATTTCAGGCTCAGGGCCCAGTCTGATGCAGGCAAGGAAACCAGGAAAGAGAAACTACTGAGTTTGGGAAACTTATGCTTTGAGATCCTCTCCTTTCTTCAACCAGAGGGAATTTTTACAGATAAATTTTACATGGATTAAAGAGTTATGAATACATACTTTTTAAAAACCAAGGCAAACTGAAAGAGAGACTTAACAGTCACCAAATCTCTGGAGGAAAAATGTCTTTTATTAAACTTAGAAATGATTAATGAAATCACAAAGAAAAGATTAGCAGGTTTGACTACAGAGAAATGTACATTTTCTATATCCAAAAAAGGCTGAAAAGGGGCAAGTGGGAAAAATATTTGCAGCATTTAATGTATACAAATTTAAAAATTATCTGTTTTATTTATACTCTTATCTCCTTCTTAAGATGTTTTGAGGAGGATAAATTACATAAAGAATCCATACAAACTTCTAGTTACAAACAAAAAGTCTTATATGTATACAAATAAGCAAGGAGCATAAATGAAGCAATGTACATAAAACAAGTCATAACTAGAAATAGATTTACAGAAAACTGTGCAGGCTTGCTAATCACCAAAGAAATGTGAAGTTAAGTGGAAAGTTTAACTTGACACCCAGAACTCATGAAGGTGTCATAAAATAGCCCCATACATTGCTGACCTGAGTAAATTGTTACAATTCTCAAGGAAAATAATATGGCAAAAGATATCAAGAACTGTAAAAATATTTTTTATATTCAACAGTAATTTTACAACTGGGAATTTATGCCAAAAATTCAAAAATGTGAAAAGAGTTTTGTGTACAAAAATCCTCATTGCAAGCGATTTTTTTTTTTTTTGAGATGGGGCCACCCTCTGTCACCCAGGCAGGAGTGCAGAGGTGCCATCTTGGCTCACTGCAACCTCCATCTCCCAGGTTCAAATGATCCTCCCACCTCAGCCCACTTGCCCCCCTCCCCATGTAGCTGGGACCACAGGCACACGCCAACACGCCTGGCTAATTTTTTGTATTTTTAGTAGAGACAGGGTTTCGCCATGTTGGCCAGGCTAGTCTCAAACTCCTGAGCTCAAGTGATCTGCCCACCTTGGCCTGCCAAAGTGCTGGGATTACAGGCATGAGCCACCACGCTCAGCCTTCATTGCAGTATTTTATTTTTTGTTAAAGGCAAAACTTTAAAATGACCTAAATGTCCTAAAGTAGGAAAATTATTAACTGAAGTTTGCCTCGTCCATTTAGCGGAATACAATACAGCCTTTAAAAAAGAAGTTTACTAAAAGGTATGGCAAATAAGATTGCCTGTGACAGAATGTTAACTTTAAAAAGCAGAATATATAGCTGCAGTATTCAGAATATATAATTAATTGTATAAATATAACTATGTGAAAAAATTCACGCATACAAATATGCAAAAGGCAGGCTTTCCCCCAATGTGTGCAAAAGATGGGGTACAAGTGGAGCCCACATGTCAAATGCCTAAATATTAAAAAATAATAATTCAAGCTAACAAACTGTCAAATCAAATGTTTCACCTTCCTACCTTGTGATACATTAAGATGCATATTGTAATCTCTTGGATAACCGTTAAGAAAATAGCTCAACAATTATAGTGTAAAAATGAACAACAAAATTAAAAAGGTTTGCTAGAAGAATGTATGTTTAACATGAGAGAAAGCAATAAAGGAGCAACATAGAAACAAAAAACACACATGAGACATGTAAAAAATAAAGAGCAAAATGATAGATATAAATCCAATAATATCAATAATTACTGTGATCGAATGAATGTTTGTGTCTGCCTCTCCCCCACAAATTTGTTTGTTGAAGCCCTAAATCTCAATGTAATGGTATTTGGTGACAGGGCCTTTGAAAGGTAATTAGGTTTAGATGAGGTCATGGTGGTGGGGATGTGTTGGGATTTGTGTCCTTATAAGAACTGGAAGAGAGACCAGAGGTCTACCATTTGAAGACACAGCAAGAAGGCAACCTTCTACAAGCGAGGACTAGAGCCCTCACCAGGAACTGAAATTTCTAGCACCTTGATCTTGGACTTCCCAGCCTCCAGAAATGTGAGAAATAAATGTCTGCTGTTTAAGCCACCCAGATTGTGGTAGTTTGTTATAGCAGCCCAAGTTAACTAAGACATTTACATTAAATTATAACAGCATTATTCATAATTACTCCAAACTGGAAATAACCTAAATGTCCATCAACCAGTGAATGAATAAACAATGTAATACTAGCCAGCAATTAAAAAGGAACAAACTAGATAGATACTTCCATGTGAACAAACTTCAAAAACATGCTAAGCGAAAAAAGCCAGATGCAAAAGATGAAATATTATGTGATTCCATTGACATGACATGTCCAAAACAGACAAAGCTACAGTGGTTGGTGGGGGCTGGCAGTGTAACAGGATTGACTGCAAATGGCCACAAGGGGTTATTGGGAGGCGATGGAAATGTTCTATCTAAAATTGGACTATGACCATTGTTATGGTGATGAACAACCCTGTAAATTTACTAAAAATCGTTGCACATTTGAAATGGATGAGATATATGATACATGAATTACACCTCAATAAAGCTTTTTTTATGCTAAAATTAAAATATATTATATACTTATGATACCGTCAAGAAATGAAAAGATAACTCATTAACTGTTTAAAGTATATGCGTGTTTTGTCTGTGACATATGGTTCAGCTGGGTGCATTTTCTGGCTTCTTATAACACAGGGCTTCACAAACTTCTTTTTTTTTTTTTTTTTTTTTTTTTTTTTCACTCTTGTTACCCAGGCTGGAGTGCAATGGCGCGATCTCGGCTCACCGCAACCTCCGCCTCCCAGGTTCAGGCAATTCTCCTGCCTCAGCCTCCTGAGTAGCTGGGATTACAGGCACGCGCCACCATGCCCAGCTAATTTTTTGTATTTTTAGTAGAGACGGGGTTTCACCATGTTGACCAGGATGGTCTCGATCTCTTGACCTCGTGATCCACCCGCCTCGGCCTCCCAAAGTGCTGGGATTACAGGCTTGAGCCACTGCGCCCGGCTCGCAAACTTCTTTAAAATCCAGATAATAGATACTTTTTTTTTGACCTCTGAACTTTTTATTGGCCTCCTGCTCCCCAAAGGATCCCCTGCTTCTGCTGGCTTAATGTCTCAGAACTTTGGGGTCGCTGGTCTCAGACACCACTTAGCCATCCACTATCTGGCAGGTGGGGGTCTTCTGGATGGTTTGCATGAAGTTGCTGCTGTCCAGGGCGTCACCAAGATTGAAGTCCTCTCTCTTCCAGCAGGCGGCAGTAGGTGGCGATCTCAGTCTCCAGCTTGACCTTGATGTTCAGCAGGTCCTTGTAATCCTGGGCCTGGTGCTATCCCTCTGCCTGGGTCTGTGGCAGCTCTGACTCCAGGTGCAGCAGGATCCCGTTGAGCAGCTCCATCTGCAGGGCGTAGCGGGCGCCCACCTCCCTCAGGCTGTTCTCCAAGTTGGCCTTCAGATTTCTCATGGAGTCCAGGTTGATATCCAAGAATTGAACTGTATGTCTCAGCTCCGTGAGCGTCATCTCAGGAGCTCCAACCTCATGTGTGGTGACCACTGTGGTGCTCTCCTCAATCTGCTGAGATCAGTACTTGTCCAGCTCCTCTCGGTTCTCCTGAGCCAGCCCAGATGTGTGCCATGGGGGCATCTACCTCCACGGTCAACCCAGAGCTGGCAATCTGGGCTTGTAGGCCTTTTACTTCCTCCTCGAGGTTCTTCTTCATGAAGAGCAGCTCCTCCTTGAGAGCCTCGATCTCTGTCTCCAGCTGCAGCCAAGTGACATTGGTGTCATCAATGACCTTGAGGAGCCCATGGAGGTAGCTCTCCACAGACTGGCGCTTGGCCAGCTCTGTCTCATACTTGACTCTAACGTCATCAGCAGCAAGACAGGCATTGTGGATCTACAGAACAACGTGGGCATTGTCCACAGTATTTGCCAAGATCTGAACCCTTAGGTCCTTGATGGTCTTGAAGTAATGGCTCTAGTCTCTCACCTGGGGTCCCTTCTTCTCCAGGTGCTCCTGGATTTTGCTCTCCAGCTTCCGGTTCTCGGTCTCCAGGCTCCTTACTCTGTTTAGGTAGGAGGCCAGGTCGTCGTTCAGGCTTTGCATGGTCTCTTTCTTGTTCTGGATGCCCCCCATTCCTGCCAGACCCCCAACCATCCCTGCCGCCAGGCCTCTGGACACCATGCCACCCTGGAAGCTGGTGAAGCAGGACATGGAGATCCAAGAACCGGAGTCCGCGGCGCCTGCATAGACACTGGCCACACTGCTGACCAGCTGGGTGCCATATCGGGGAGCCTGGACAGATCCCAGGGACTGGTAGTTGGGGAAGAAGGTGGAGCAAGTGGTGAAGCTCATGCTGTCCAGGGAAGAGAGCAAGACGACAGGACTCAGGCTTTGTTGACATCCGGTAATAAATACTTTCAAGTTTGCGAAGGTATCTGTTACAAAGACTCAACTCTGTTGCTGTTGTTCAATGAATGAGTGTTGCTGTGTTCCAATAAATCTTTATTTACAAAAACAGGCCACTGGCCAGAGGGCTGTAGTTTGCCAACCCCTGACAGTGTTTCCCACTGAGAAAATCACACAAGAGCAAATGCAAAATCTACATTATGCTCATATTGTTCCCTGGTATACCAATCATGTTGGAACACGTTCTCCTTTTTTTTCCCCCCACTTGCAACTGTCTTGATTGAATTATACAGGTTCTCATTTTCAAAACAAGCATTATGAGAACAGACTGAACTTGACTGGCTGTTATGAGAGGTAAGTGACCTCGTGCCTATAACGTCCTAAGTCACTGAGACATTGGTGGTCCATGGATGTTACTGATTATTATTCGCTATGTTTTATGGTTGTTGTTGGCATTACATTTGACTATTTACATGATACACTTAGAAGAGTGCTTATGGCTGGGTGTGATAGCTCACGCCTGTAATCCCAGCACTTTGCAAAGCTGAGGTGGGTGGATCACCTGAGATCAGGAATTCGAGACCAGACTGACCAACATGGATAAATCTCGTCTCTACTAAAAATACAAAATTAGCTGGGCATGGTGGTGCATGCCTGTAATCTCAGCTACTTGGGAGGCTGATGCAGGAGAATCGCTTGAACCTGGGAGACAGAGGTTGCAGTGAGCCAAGATCATGCCGTTGGACTCCAGCCTGGGCAACAAGAGTGAAACTCCATCTAAAAAGAAAAAAAAAGACAGTGCTTGCAACTTAGTTATTTTTTAAAGACTCTTTTTGGGAGCAGTTATAGGTTCACAGCAAAATCGTGAGGAAGATGCAGAGCTTTCGCATATACCCCCTGCCCTCACACATGCACAGCCTCCCCGACTACTGACATCCGGTGCAGTTGTTATAACTGATGAACCTACAATGACATATCATCATGCAAAGTCTGTATGTTACACTAGGGTACATTCTGGGTGCTGCACATTCTATAGGTTTGGACTAATATATACTGACATGTTTCCACCATGATAGTATCATTTGGAATAGTTTCACTACCCTAAAGATCCTCTATGCTTCACCTACTCATCCCTCTCATCCCACTAAGCCCTGATAACCACTGATCTTTTTACTGTTTCCATAGCTTTGCCTTTTCCAGAATGTCATATAGTTGGAATCATTCAGTAAGTAGCTTTTCAGATTGGCTTCTTTCACTTAAAACCTAGTAATTTAAAAATAGACACAGCCACCATTTTCATCAAATCCAAGACCCATATTTTAAAAAATTGTGGTAAAATGCACATAACATAAAATTTATCATCTCAAACATTTTGCAGTGCACAATTTGGCGGCAGTTAGTACATTCACAGTGTTATGGAGCCATCACCACTGTATAGCTCCAGAATATTTTCATTATCTCCAAAGGAAACCCTGTTCTCTCCAGTAGTCATTCCCTATTCCTCCCTCTCCTAGCCTCTGGAAGATGTTTAAAGAAAAAAAATCACTTCTCCAAACATTTGAGATTGCACAGTGCTTACAATCAAAAACATCATTTTTTTTTTTTCAGGGCAGAGTCTCACTCTGTTGCCCAGCCTGGAGTGCAGTGGCACACTCACAGCTCATTGTAGCCTTGACGTCCTGGGCCTAAGTGATCCTCCCACCTCAACCTCCCTGGCAGCTGGGACCATAGGCATATACCAGCTATGGTCATGGATGTACATGACCTTGCTAATTTTTGTATTTTTTGTAGAGACGGGGTTACTCCATGTTGCCCAGGCCGATCTCAGGCAGTTGACCCACCTTAGCCTCCCAAAATGATGGGCTTACAGGCATGAGCCACTGCACGCAGCTCCAAAACATCTTATAATCATCGTTTATCCTGCGGCGTTCCCACATAGTTGTCATTGCCTGAATAAGCATAAATTTGGTCTTTTGCTCTTTACAGCTATGAGTTCTAAAAGAATGAGTAGTTTTGTGCATTCCTAGATATTTTATGTGTTGAATTTAACTGCCTCTAAAGTGCCTTCAAGACTGCTATGGCCCAACAAAGAAATGAAAATTTGTGAAGAAGGACATGAAACAAAGCTGCAGGGCATAAACTCAATATGAATGAGGCAAACATTCACCAACAGAGGCACCACCATAGTCTGTGCTTCTGACTAGAGTCACAATCAGGTGCTTTATGGGACAGGAAAGGAAGAGGTAAATAGATGAAGTTGTGCCATGTTTTGTTACTGAAATATGTCTGAAAAGACGACCTGTCACATATCAAGCAAGGCACCCAAGGCCCAGAGAAATTGTGAAATCCCTGGGAATAGCTAATAAACAATTTCAAAATAAAGGGAGGTTGGTGTGTCTGGTTCATGTGTCATGTGAGGCTATTGTTAAGGTATTATGATTCAGTTTAACGGCAGTATATTTTTTCATGATGGTACATAAAATTTAAAATTGCATACTACAATTGATAGCATCTTAAAATGATAACATAGTATTATTATCATCATCACAGTGCATTTTATTTCCACATACTTGTCTGTTTCTCCTACTGGATTGTCAGTGTTTTGAAGAAAAGGAATTTCTCTTATTTGCTACCGTACCCTCAGTGCCTTGCCAGATGTCTGGTATGTAGCAGGAGCCAATAAATGAACAAACAAAATTCATTTCGGAGATGAAGCTCACCAATTTAATTAGTCTTAACACCTGGTTTTAAGGTTGCTGTGAGAATTAAATGAAAAACAGCTTTTAAGACTTTGCCTATTATAGTGCTTGGCACAAAGTAAGTGCTCAATAAAGACTCATTGGTTGGTTGTTGTTTTTGTACCAGTTAGGATAGTATTTGGCTAAAGTGACAGAAGACCCAAAATAATAATGGTGTAAACAAGAGAGAAGTTGATTATCCCTTCAGATAAGCAAAGTGTGGAAGTTAATAGCCCAGGTATGGGAAGCTCCATGACCATCAGGGTCTCAAGTTCCTTAGTTGCATTGTTCTGCCATTCTCACACATGGCATCCACCTTATAGCCCAAAATGGCTGCTTGAGCTCCAGCCATCATGTTTACATTTCAGCTGGAAGGAAGTAGAAAAGGACGGCAGAAGAAAGGTACCTCACCATTTATCAATACTTTCTAGGAGTCATCATGACACTCTGTTTACATCCCATTGATCAGAACTTGACTACATCTAACAAATGGCATCTGGAAAATTCAGGCTTTTGTATAAGCAGCTTTGTGCCTAGCTAAAATTCAGGAATTTCATTGCTGAAGAGGAAGGGGAGAGTAGATGTGCAGGGACAAGTCAGCTCTGCCAGAGTTGTTCAACTTCATGGTGCTGACTACAAGCCCAACATGGGCTCTAAGAAGGCTTGTTCCATAAAGGCGGTGGAAGACTTCTAAGTGGAGATGGGCATGAGCTGGGCTTTGAAAGATGAGGAAAAACGTGGATGGGATAGGTAAAGGCATTTCAGGCAGGGGAATGGCCAAACAGAGGCCCTAGGGCAGGGAGGCACATGTGTGCCTGAGAGTGAATAGGGTTGTTTGGTCGTGTAGGGGCTTTGTGTTGGGAGGAAAGGGGCACTCAGATGGTAATTAGCTGGGTGTCAGCCCTGGAAGTGGGGGTCAATCCTGTGCTATGTAAGCAGCATGGAGCCACTTAGCCCTCTGAGCTTTGCTTTTGTCCCTTGTGAAATGTGCACAGTAATGCACCTGCTGTAAAGATTCAACAAAATGAGCAAGAGAAGCGCTTTGTAAACTGTAAGTTCCTACACACTTTAGATGTTCAAAAAACAAGCAACTGTTATCACAACAGAGGCCAAAGCTTGGAAGGGGAGGGCTTGGAGTTTGTACATACTCATGCTGGTCCAGGTGGCTCACCACTTGCAGATCCCCTTGGGTGGGCATGGGTTGTGGGTGGTGATTGAGGGACTTGAGGGCAGAGAGACAGGAGCCTTGGGTGGGGACAGACAAGGCACACAGATACTCCTAGGATGGGAGACAGTGATAGGAAGAATTGGGGGAGGGCAGACCCGGACTGTCCCAGTGCCCATTCCGCTCCCACCCACACCAGGAAGCACTGTGTGTCAGGGTCCTGTGCTAGCCAGGGCCTACTCCTGGACCTCCGAGCCTACTGTAGTCAAGTCAGTAGGTTGCTAGGCTCTGGAGCAGGTCCAGCCCTCTGGGGCATGGACCTTCTTCACACCACTGTGGGAGTCTCTGTGGCAGAAGCCAAAGGCCACGAAAGGTGATGGTGTAAAGAGGTGCAGAGTGCAGAGCAGAGCTGACTTTGGTCCTGGAGCCTCACCAAGCTGCTGCCTTCCCTGCAAAGGGGCAACCAGGTTGCTATACTATACCATCTTAGTCATCTTGGGCTGCCGTAACAAAATCTGGTAGACTGGGTGGCTTAAACAATAGGAGTTTATTCCTCACAGTTCTGGAGACTGAGAAGTTCAAGATTATGGCACTGGCCAATTCAGTTTCTGCTGAGGGCTCTCCTTCTGGCTTGCAGGTGGCTGCCTTCTTGTTACATTAGGGTGCACTTTTGGTGCTGCATATTCTGCCACAGGCAACAGGCCTGTAGCCTCCATTTAGGCAATTGTAATATCTTAGATGGGACCTCCCACAGCCATTTGCAGGGCAATCGTACCAATGCCTGCATCTATCATGGCATCAATGACAGTTTCGTAGCCTCACATGGCAAGGCAGAGAGAGCACTCTGGCTTCTCTTCCTCTTCTCATAAGGGCACTAATCCCATTATGGGGGCCCCACCCTCATGACCTCATCTAAACCTAATTACCTCCCTGAGGCCCCACCTTCAAATAGCATCATGTTGGGGGTTAGAGCTTCACCTAATCCCAACATATATTCCATAGCAGACATCTAATTCCATCTGGACACCTGCTTTGGCCCCTGGGCTCCTGCTGTGTCCCTGTACTTGCCTGTCCCTTCAGGACATGCCCTGAGGATGGTGGGCTTTTGCTCTAGAAGTGTCAGGCAGGGGAGCTGCACCAGGGCTGGCGCCTCTGCTGAATGTACGCAGACTGCCCTGGAAGAAGAAGGGTGGCAGCTTTGAGGTGACCTGCAGCTGCATGTCAAGCCCACCAGGTTTTACTGCGGCGATGAAACCACACAGTGCCTTCTCTTTTCTTTTTTCCATGAGATTGCTGCAAAGTGGGTTGTCAAGGGGAGAACTCTGGAGGGGGAGGAGAGTCCAAGAACTGGTCAGAGAGAGACAGGACAGAGAGGCACAGGGTGAGAGGGAGGCTGAGAGTGGCATGAGGACCTGGAGAGAGTCGGGGACACTGGCATAGACACAGAGAAAGAAGCCAGAGCTAGAAAGCAGAGGGACAAGGTGGCAGAGATCTGGAGACACAAAGAGAGATGAGGTCTGCAAGGCAGTGCAGAGAGCACCTGAGGCAAGTGAGGCAGGATGCGGAGGACAAGGAGGAGGGGGAGGACGGGGCATGGGGGAGGGGAGGCAGACAGAGGACTCGGAGGCCTCAC